ATGAAGCATTCCATCAATCTGCAAGAGCAAGGACAAAGGTCAGGGAATGCGGTTCAGGTGACTTCCACACATCTACAAAGCTCGATGGCTACATCTGGGTAGCTGGAAAGGACAAGATTGCTCACATCCCAGAATCAGAGCAACAGAATGTGGACATGGAAGATCACGATGATGATGATGCTGAAGATGATTTGGAGTTTTTGCCAAGACTACAAGTTTTTGTCAGGAAAGAGGAGGAAAAGGCATCAGGCTCTCAGGAAAGAGAGGAAGAAGGTGTATGCTCTCAAGAAAGAGAGGAAACACAACCACAACAAGAAGATGAGGTATTACCAGATGCAAATCCTCGAAGAAATATGGAAGATCGACAGGGACTGTTTTTAGTCAGGCAACTCAAACCAGAGCACAGGAGGATCCTACAGGATATTACACTTGCAGGCCAATCAATCCTCACAGGAGATGATCTTGAAGGAGGTCAACCCCTTGAACGTGGTGACATAAGCTTCTTCTCATTATGGTTGATGATGTCGGCATTATCAGATGCTTCCTTTTCAACATTTATGGAGCAGTATGCACCTATGATGGGTTATGAGATCTCTTACGACAAGTATCATGAGTTCAAACTGGATATTGACCAAGTTCTCAGGGAGAATGAACACCTTGGCGCAGAAAATTTCTTTGGAGCAGAGGATCCTGATTTGGTGGACGATGATCCAGACACTCCTCTTCCAGATCTTCAAAGACCAGGCGCAGGTGATCCTGAGTACAAACATACTATTGAAAGTTTGAACATTGAGGACAAGCATATCGTTTTGGAAACTGATGATGACAAATTGGTTGAGTGTACATTGAAATGGATCAGTATGTGCAATCAGAATGTTCAACAAAAGATCAAGGACAGTTTTGTCAAACCAGAAGAACGACAAGAGAAAGAAGAGGATGAAGAAGAGGAGATTGCTGTCGAAGAAAAAGAAGAAGAAAAAGACACACAGGAGCCACATGTCCCAGCTGAAGGCTCTTCAGAGAAGGAGGAATCAGCTCCACCTGAACGCTCCTCAGAAAAGGAGGAATCAGGGGAGAAGAAAATAGACATTCAAGATGATGAGACAGCTCCTGAAGTGAAACCTGCAATTCGACTTTACTATGGTCAAGATATAACTGGAAACGAAGATGATTCAGTTTTTCGAAAATTGAAGGATTGTTTTTCAGATGATTACCATGGTGAATGGGCAGGATTTTACAACAAAGGTTATCCAGCGTCTTCGAAGCATCGACACATGTTTTGGCATGTCAAGTACAGAAAGACCATGTCTCCACATCAAGATTATTGGTACCATCTTACAGATGACCAGTTGATGGTTGAGTACATTGCCAGACACAAGGATCAAATCCACAACTAGAATTACAAGAACTCAATCAGCGCATTGAATATGGTTGTAGTGATCCTAGGATGCATCCTCTTCATCAAGACAAAGCAGAAAGATCCTCAAAAGAAGCAGAAAAGAGGATTGATGACGATTTTGGAAATCTCACAAGGGTACTCCAAGATTACGTTGAGGACCACAAGGTCTTGCCTTACTGTATGATCTTGCATAGCTTGGCTTACAGGTATTTAGGTGGAGGCCTATCAGACCCAACGTACAAGGATGCTGAATTTCCATACAGATCCTCTCCACAGATAACAGCAATGTTTTGGAATTTGGGAAACTGGTGCAGAAACAGATTTGAAAAATGCCCGGTTCCAGAAAGATTTCAACAATTCATTCCACACATTGACTACACCATCGATGAGGATCATGAAAAATTTGATGAAAACAAATCACAGTTCAACAATTACTTCATCAATGTCATCAAGAACTTTGGAGGACATCTTTTCATGAATTGCGAGGCTGGTTCATTGTATCCTCACAGAGAAAGACTCAACGAGGTTGACTTTAAAACTTGCTTCAATGACTATCATGACTTGATGGTGGCAGCTCGCCTTGGAAAGGATGGCTATATCAAGCAAATTGCTGGATATTACACAGATGACAACGACACACGAGTTCGACAAGTCTCATGGGCAATCTTTGAAGTATCTTGGGGAAAGACAAAGGATCGAGATACAGATGAGATTGTTGACTTGACAAGAGCTAGGATGAGAATGACACGTGTGTGCGTTTATCACGTCGGACAGAAGTATGCATCAGACTCTGCTGGGATTGTTGGTGAGTGCTTAGCTGTTATGGCTTTTGAGTGTGCCAGATATCAAGTTGACTTCATCGCAGGTGATGGAAACAAGGCATGCTATTACAGCACACCAAAATCTCCAGGTGTCCCTACATACCAACACAGCCTTATCCAATTCTGGATCAACAGAATGGTAGGTGTTGCAACACAAGCCATGCGCAAGTATTTTGATTCATCTTGCCCTCCAATCAGGGTCAAGCATTTCATTTCTTGCAGTTATCGTGACTTGGATTTTCTTGCAACGCACTTGGATGGCATTACAACAGCAACATACACCGACGAGCTCATGAACAAGACAAATGGTAAAGGTGATTGTTGTATGTTAACAGTTGTTGAGTGGGGTCATTCACGTTTGATGTGTGAGGAACACCCAGAAGACTTTGAGGATGAAGATCACATGAACTATGTGGGTGAATTTTACTTCAAGGTAAATGAAACTTGCTTACATGGTGATCACAACATCTTCATGGTTGCCCCAAATGATCGCGATGCTCATAATCCAATTCTTATCCATCTTGATCCTTCTGATATGTCATGGAATGAACGACATCATTACAAACAGGCCTACAAGAAGAAGCAGTATGCTGATACAAGAAAGGAAAGACAGAAGGAGAAAAAGAGAAAGGCATATGAAGATCAAGCATCGACGTATCAGGGCAACACAGAGTGGGGTGGATCCTCATCTTCTTCGTCCAGACCATGGAGATCAAGCTTTTGGCTATGAGTGAGTGTATACTTCTTTAAATGAAGATAACACAGCATGAGAAGCCGTGTACAGTTTTTCTGTGCGTTCAACTTATTTCACACAAATGGCATATACTCTTTTAGATAGAGATAATGCCACAAGTGTCTGAACTTCAATTTAATGTAAAATAGAGACTCTTGTAAATAGAGATACTATATACATTTATCTCCATGAACCATCCGGCGAGCAGACCACTCCGAATGGAGCGAACTCCAAAAATTACCAACTTCGATTTCAGTCCATTGTTTGCTTGAATGAGCAACTTTGGAGATCCGCTATTTCCGTTTATTTCGTGATTTGGTCAATTGTTTTTCGTATGACCTGAATTTCTGAATCTTGCGAACCCGAACTTTTCAATTCGAACTTTCACCGGTAGAGCAAGGCATTTTGCCTATGGAGAGACCGTGCGCGAAGCACCATTGGTCGCTACTGGAAAAATTAGCGAATCCGCTGTTCTTTTTCGACATGTCCTTAGGACATTCGCTGCTTTCACGTGTTTTTCAATTCGAAGCCACTGCGTAACTCCGGTTTCTTTTGCTATTTGCCATTGTGTAGAGAAGTCAGGAAGATACTCTTAATACCAATTGGGTACGGCAAGGCGTAATACCAATTGGGTACGGCAAGGCGTAGTGCTCTACTCATTGCTTTTGAATTTGTGCCTGTGTTTTTGTTTCGACCTAATACCTACATAGGTACATGCATGAGTATTGAGCACATTTATATGCGCCCTCAAGGCTCAAGAGGTATATAGAGTAACCCTGTAGACAAGCACAGACCGGCAACAGGCTGAGTAAAACAAGTGCTGTCATTGGGGAAGACGCCTTAGCTGATCTTGAAGTAGACGCTAGGGCCCCTCTTCAGGCCCCCCCCCCCCTTATAATTGATATCCAATACATAACGGCGAGAATTCCTTGAATTCCGTGGGCTGGCCCCCCAATACCCCCTAAGCTTGTGCTGAAGCACGGAGAACTCAGGTAGCTGACGCTACCTTTCGTGATGAGGATGAGGATGAGGATGAGGGTAAGGATGATGATGATGATGAGGAGGAGGAGGAGGAGGATCATGTGAGGATGATGATGAGCGTAAGGATGGTGATGATGATGATGATGAGGAGGAGGAGGAGGATGAGGAGGAGGATCATCATCGGAACAGAACCTAGGACCACACTTTGTGCGAGCCTGCACAGTCCAAACGCATGTCCACATGTCACAAGAGACATCAGAAGAGCCACTTTATACGGAATTTACAGGAAAATTTTCGCGGCCCAGACGGGGCCCAGAACGTGGACACACTTTGTGCGAGCCTGCGCAGTCGAAATGCATGTCCACACGTCACAAGAGTCAGAAGAGCCACTTTATAGAAAAATGCCGCAACCCAGATTGGGCAGAACGCAGACGAACACTTTGTGCGAGCCTGCGCAGTCGAAATGCATGTCCACATGTCACAAGAGTCAGAAGGGCCACTTCATACTGAAATTTACAGGAAAAATGCCGCGGCCCAGGTTGGGCCCAGAATGCAGACAAACACTTTGTGCGAGCCTGCGCAATCGAAATGCATGTCAAGATTTACGAGAGACATCAGAAGAGCCACTTTGTACGGAAATTTACCGGAAAAATCCCGCAGCCCAGATTGGGCCCAGAATGCAGACACACATTTTGTGCGAGCCTGCGCAGTCGAAACGCATGCCAGGATTTCACAAGAGCCACTTTATACGGAATTTACAGGTAAAATGCCGCAGACCAGAGTGAGCACCCTGATCAAGCACCGGCCCTTACAGCTACAGTAAGAACCCCTCAGTGTGGACACACTGTTTGGGAAATCAGAAGGATCACTCCCATGCTCACTCCATCACATGCCATCCATCATGGTCGCTTTTTTTTGCTAGGAATCCGCACACCTTGGCAAGTAGGGACCAGAATTGCTCTACCACCATGTGGCTGCTGGAGGTTCTCTAGCTTTTGAATAATTGCACACAACACAACAAGCAAAAATGTTCCGAAAATATATTCTGAACAGGCCAAGAAGTGTCCATGTTGTGCACTTGAAGCCGCTGGCGCTTGTCCAGGGCTGCGAAGCGCGGATGTGTGCTGTGGTGGCAATACACACAAGCATCTCCCATGTGGCAGCTCCCTTTAGCCAAGCGAATGCATGGCCGCGCACATAGAAAGGGATGGCCCCGGCTGCCCTGGATAAGTGCATGACGCACGGGCGTTGCCGAAGATGTGGCTGCAGCCGAGTCACACTTCTGCGCATCTTCCTCTTGCGATGCCTCTTGCCGACCCATCTCTGTCTTCATGTCTGCCTCAGCTGCAATGGTCTCCGTAGCTGCCATGTCTGGTAGAATTGGTTCTTCTGGCCCCATATTTGTTGGAAGTTCATCTGCTGCAACTGACTCGACTTCCTCTCCATCCACTGGAACTGCTGCAACTGGTTGTTGCACTGGAGCTACCCTCATCAACCCAGTCAAGATCTGGGTCCTTGGCCATAGCTCAGCGACGTAGATGGCCATTGCATGCTCTGGACTGTTTTGCTCATCTGCATCCACATGCGCTTGGCTAAGATCGGGACAGCTTCGCGAGCGAGGCAGTTCCACACCCGCTGACTCTTCATCAATGAAGGTGTGAAGGTATCGAAAATTCGCCATGCCCGTGTGCGCCACTTTGGCAGTACCGGGCACGAACGGCGCATCTAGAACCGAAAGGAATGCATATCAGGTTTATCTGTCAAATCCTACTGCGAAATCATGAACAATGCAAGGCTGGACTCTCTCCGATTCAAAATATCTTTCACTGTTTCCCCAGCGGTGCCATGATCCAACCTTTTGGGATGGCCCAGGATATTCAAACTGCAATAATCCATAAAGCGCTTCAAGCCTCGTTCGCTCGAAACTGGTGCAGGGCGATGGCTTTCGAGAACTTCCACGGTATCAGGTTCCTGTGACAGATGTGGGGATGGACCCAAACTCCTGGAAGTCACAACGTGCCGTAGCTGGTATAAAACAGGCGCCGTAACCTTTGCCTTTTTAAAAATGGGGTTGATAGGTATCAATAAGCATATGTTCTTGAGACTGTATTTCGTCAAAGAAGGACCTTCTAGATATAGATATAGGTATAAATATAGATATCAAATATTGATATAGAGATAGATATAAACTATATATACACTATATCAAATAGACAAGATATTGATAGAGGATACTGAGATCATCTTCGTACAAGAACGAACTTCCTATGTGCATCCCACAGAAACTTTCATGGAGGCGCCTCTAACGCATAGCATCTTCAAGATCTTGATGCCAGGACCTATCAGGGAGGACTGCACCAGGATCCCCACAAAATTTTCTCATAAGGACCTGTGCAAGATCATGCAACGACCTCTTAGAAAATTTCAGCAGGATCTTCACAAGAGCTTCTCATAAGGACCTGTACAAGATCATTCAAGGAGGGACTTAGAGGATTTCACCAGGATCCCCACAAGATATTCTCACAAGGACTTGTACAAGAATGTGGTCAAGATTTTCATATATCACGGACCTCTATGACTGCACCATGAAACTGCTGCAAGATTGTCATGGAAGGACCTTCCAGAAAACTCAGAAGATTCAGATTTCTTGCCGGGATCTTCGGAAAGCAGCTAAGACAAGCATCGCGCCACAGCGAGAGCGATCTGACAGGCGCAAAGACACGAGAGGGTTGCGCGAACGATATCAAAATTCGCACCACGCCACAACGAGAGCGATCCGACACGCACAAAGTCACGAGATGGCCGCAAGAGCAGATAATAGATTTTCACCCAATACTGTGCGCACCATGAAAAATGAACATTGAAAATCTGAAAAACGATGTTTTACCTATATAGGCTTCAGCGACGTCTTTGTCGAGGTCTACACTGCACAGTACGGCGCCTGACATGAAAAATCCGAAGTGCCGCAACATGGAATCATCATCATGTCCCAAATCAAAAATCAGGTGGCTTTCGATGCTTTCAAAACGTCGTCCCACGTTCACCAAATATTGCATCTGCCACGAAAGATGACCTCCAAAACCACCACATGGACCCACGCCTGCCAATGTTTTAGCAAAGTCCAGAAAGTGTCACGCCTGCCATGCGGATGAATAAGCCTCCGATGTCCTGCACCTATCACGCACAACCGCGCTCCAGACCTCAAAATGCCCCCAAAGTGCCACGCCTTCAAAAAAGGACGTACCTCAAAAAACGAGCGCCGCGCACCACTAAAAGTAGACTTTGGAAGAGACCAAACTGGGGCTCACACTTTGCCTGTGCGGTCGAAATGCTCATGGACATCACATAAGGGAACTTGTGTGCGAGCCGGCGCAGACAAAAGCCAGGGCCCACAGAACGTCCCCTTATGGTCTAACCCCGACCTTGTCATTACACCGGAAAGGGACCCCAAACAGTGCGCGGGTAGGAAGTCAAATAACCAGATACAAGCAACAGTAACTATGGAACAGCAACAGACCAGGTTAGACATGATCGTAACTGCAGCAGCAGGAACTTGTTTTGCACAAGAAGCAACGCTATGTCTACTCATCAGGACCTCATACCAGAACCTCATACCAGGACATTAAGAGAATTTCAAAAGATCGTCAAACCAGGACCCTTTATACAGAGGATCTTAGATGATCTTCAGACAAGAACTTCCTATGAGCATCCCAGAAGAACTTTCATACATGAACCAATGCAGACAACCTCTTGGGAGGATTTCAACAGATCTCCGCAAGATCTTCTCACAGGGACCTGCACGAGATCAAGGACACCTAGGGGATTTCACCAGTACCTCTTCAAAATCTTCTTATAAGAACCTGTACAAAATCATACTAAGGCCTCTGACGGCATTTCACTAGGATCTCCAAAAGATCGTCTCACAAGGACCTGTACAAGATCATCCATGGCAAGGACATCTTAGATAGAGGTTTTCACCAGGATCTCTACAAGATCTTCTCACAACAAAACTTAAAAGACCTTGATCAAGATCTCCATGCCAGGATCGCTAAGAGAATCTCACAAGATCGTCAAAAGAAGAACCTACTGCTGCTGGAGATGACATTTCAAGATCTTGGCACAAGAACCTCCCAAGAGCCTCCCACAAAAGCTTTCATACAAGCACCTCTAATACATGGCATCTGCAAGATCTGATCTTTGCAAGGACCTTTTAGACACGATCTCGCCAGGATCTCCACAAGATCTTCTGTTAAGGACCTGTACGGGATCATGCAAGGACCTGTTAGAGAGGACTTCACCACGATCTCCACAAGATCTTATCATAAGGACCTGTACAAGATCATGCAAGGACCTCTCAGAGGATTTCATCAGGATCTTCACAAGATATTCTCACAAGGGCGTGGTCAAGATTTTCATATGTCACCGACCTACATGACTGCACCATGAAACTGCTGCAAGATTGTCATGGAAGGACCTTCCAGAAAACTCAGAAAATTCAAATTTCTTGCCGGGATCTTCGGAAAGCAGCTAAGACAAGCATCGCGCCACAGCGAGAGCGATCTGACAGGCGCAAAGACACGAGAGGGTTGCGCGAACGATATCAAAATGCGCACCACGCCACAACGAGAGCGATCCGACACGCACAAAGTCACGAGATGGCCGCAAGAGCAGATAATAGATTTTCACCCAATACTGTGCGCACCATGAAAAATGAACATTGAAAATCTGAAAAACGATGTTTTACCTACATAGGCTTCAGCCACTTCTTTGTCGAGGTCTACACTGCACAGTACTGCGCCTGCCACGAAAATTGAGCCCGAGGCATCCGAAGTTTTGTGCGAGCCTTCGGATGAGACTTACCATAAGAACCCTTCAGTGCGGACACACTCTTTGTGAAAAATGCTCAGCCAGCTCTCATCACTATCATTGATCATCATCCCCTGGAGGCCTTGTCGCAGTAGTTCACCCACCGGCCCACCTCGGCACATGGTTGGGATGATGCAGGGTGCGTCTGAAAGGGGGATGCCCATAGAGTTGCCATTTTTTATGGGTAAAATATGGGAAAATGATGGGTTTCGTTTCAAACCCTTTAAATTTTAGGGGTTTAGGCTACCAGGGTAAGCATCAAATCTATTTTCTGTTTGGACCTTTTGATTTTGGACATTTGCCCACAAAAAAAAAAATGTGTCCCATTTACCAACACCAGCAGATCTTGTGCTGGAATATTTGCCTGAAACTAGGGTACCCCCAAATTTGATGGTTGCGTTGAGTATCATGTTCCCCATTTAAATTGCAACTTTGGGGTATGGGGTATACCGGTATACCCACGTTCAGACACACCCAGATCAGATTGGGACAGCTCTTGCTGGATGCAGAAGGGGTGCAGCTGGGCAGGAGGGGCGTGTTGTCACCAGCGATGGGGCCGCTGGACAAGAGCACGTGCTGTGTGTTCAGCGGCAATTGCCTCAAAAACGTTGGCAGGTCCGCTGGACAAGAGCACGTGCTGTGTGTTCAGCGGCAATTGCCTCAAAAACGTTGGCAGGTCCACTTCTGTGCAACCAGGTCTCCTCATGTCAAGTCCAACCAAGCTTAGTGGGTTGAGGGTCTGGGAAACATCGTCACTCTGGGGAACTTCCTCCAACCAGAATGACATCGGCGATATCCAATGCACCACTTGTAAAGAAAACTGTCTTGCTGCCCTTTTTGCACTGTCATCGCAGTCTGTTCGCTACAAATTGAACCCGCAAGGAAAGCACAATGTTCAAGACTAACAAAAATTGTACAGAAGGGAAACATGTTCTGCGAAACATTTTAGCACCATGCTCACCATTGCTTCAGGTTCGATTGGAACACCACAACTCTGATCGCTGCTGCAGCCCCCACTGGTATTGATCAATCTGTCAAAGAAAAGAACAGTCGACCCCGACTGGGATTGACTGCATTGGAGTGCTGGAAGCTCTCTGAAGATTGTTGGTCCATTGGCAAAGTTCCGTCTACTGATCTTTTCTGGGCTACGGCTACGTAACTGGGTGCCTGCAGCAAGCTAGATTTGATCCAGGATTCCCTATGAGCATCCGTGTGGCTGCCAGCGGCGTCCCATTTGATTTTTTTTATAGCCTGTGGCTTCAATCGGTGGAAAAATATCACAGTAGTCAATACTAGTAGGGATCATCAGGTGGCACGGAATCAGAAAATATTTGGACCTGGGTGAACCTGGGACACCGCAACTGACACGTTCCTTGCAATCAACACTCGGACGCTCTGTCGAGAAACCCCCGAAGTAAAAGCTGACTTATCTGGAAGAACCCCCAACCCCCCAGTTATAGGTTGGTGTATAAGCCCTTCTAGAGTGATATATCTACCGTAACCCCTTGTTAACCTACTCATGAACCAACTTAGTTCAGTCGGAGGGGCCTTTCCTTAAATCAACAGCTTCATGTTCAGTGATGTCTGAAAAAACATTCATTATAATTCCACCTCTCGCATTACTTCGAGACACTCGACCCTTGCCTGCTGTGTCGAGACACTCTCAAGACCTGTCCGCCTAGTTGGCGTCCCGACATTTTACTGTAATCCAGGCCGTCCCCACAGGACTTAGCACACATGCAGACCAAACAAATGCCTGTTACTGCTTGGCTTTGTCAGTCTTATCTGGTTTGACCATGGTACTTACCGACTTCCTGCCGGGAATTCCTCGAGGAGTGGCCTGTTGTGATTATGTCTACCTGCCACTGTTTCCTAGGTGGTCTGTAACGACAGCACCCAAGCCGGACGGCTTCACAGTTCATGGTAGGCGTTGTCGAAGCTGCGTGATTTGTTCTTGCAGCAAGGACTGCAAGTTTGTCTCTCGTGCAACGATGCACGCGAGAAGGGCTGACAAAGGCATCTGTCTCAAAGTCCGGTCCAGATGTCGATCTCGATGGTAGACCTGCTGGGCATCAACCTCCCATGCAATGATCTCAAGGAGTTCCGGTGCTTCAAGGCGAGCATCTGCAAGAGAACGACTGATGTGAGGCAAAAGCGTCCACAAGAATGTGCTCTTGTCCTTGGCAAAACCAACTACAACAATGATTTCCAGACGCAAAATAAACGCAGGCGGTATCCCCAACGGCAAATATGGTATGGCGAAAGTGCCAACCAAACCATACCCAAGGACCTCCACACCACTGCACCAGAACCTCCCCAACTCTATCCCAACTTCGGGAACCTCCGCACTGAACCGTTACCACACTGATCCTTTATCTGAGCTTAGACCCCCAAGCTAACGCTGCTGTGGAAAAAACACACAAGTTCCCTTCAGAAAAACAAGATGCAGCCCACGAACCTGAATGCAGTCATGTAAAACACTTGTGTGAAACAAGTTATTTGAACAGTCTTGTACTTTTTCCCCTGTTACCGTACCAGTGCACTGTAGGCTGTGGAATCTGGAAGAGGGTGGAGCGTATGGGGTGTGAATGAAGTGAAGTGCTGAGTGGGAGTGTAGTGTGTAGAGTGTGAAGCGGGGATTGTGGACTGTGGGCTGTTTAAGTTTCAGGTGTGGGGTGGAAAGTCTAAAGTGCAGAGTGTGGAGTGCAAAGTGTGCAAAGTGGAAAGTATAAAGTGCAGAGTGGGGAGTGTAAAGTGCGGAGTGTGACGTGTAGAGTGTGGATTGTGGAGTGCACAGTGTGGAGTGTAAAGTGTAAAGTGTGGAGTGTAAAGTGTGAAATGTAAAGTGCGGAGTGTAAAGTGTAAAGTGTGGAGCGTAAAGTGTGGAGTGTTAAGTCTAGAGTGTAAAGTGTAAAGTGTTGAGTGTAAAGTGTAAAGTGTAGAGTGTAAAGTGTGGAGTCGAGTGTTAAGTCTAGAGTGTAAAGTGTAAAGTGCAAAGTGTAGAATGTAAAGTGTGGAGTGTAAAGTGTGGAGTGTAAAGTGTGGAGTATAGAGTGTAGAGTGTAGAGTGTGGAGTGTAAAGTGTAGAGTGTAGTCTGTGGAGTACTAAGTGTAAAGTGTGGGGTGTAAGTCTAGAGTGTAAAGTGTAAAGTGTGGAGCGCAGTGTGGAGTGCAAAGTGTGGAGTGTAAAGTGGGGGAGTGTAGAGTGTAGTGTGTGGAGTGTAAAGTGTAGAGTGCGGAGTGTAGACTGCAAGGTGTGTAGTGTATAATGTATAACGTGTGGAGTGTAAAGTGAAGAGTGTGTAGAGTAAAGTGTACAGTGTGGAGTGTAAAGTGTAAAGTGTAGAGTGTAAAGTGTAGTGTGTAAAGTGTCAAGTGAGGAGTGCAAAGTGTCAAGTGTGGAGTGTAAAGTGTAACGTGTGGAGTGGAAAGTGTGGAGTGCAGTGTGTAAAGTGTAGAGTGTGGAGTGTTAAGAAAGCGTGGAGTGTAGAGTGTAGAGTGTGGTGTGTAAAGTGTAAAGTTTGTAATATTAACTGCAGTGTGTGGGGTGTAGAGTACAGAGTGTAAAGTGTGGAGTGTAGAGTCTGGAGTGTAGAGTGCGGAGTGTAAAGTGTAAAGTGGAGAGTTTGGAGTGTAAAGTGTAAAGTGTATATAAAGTACAAAGTGTGGACTGCAAAGTGTAAAGTGTGGAGTGTAAAGTGTCATGTGTAAGGTGTAGAGTGCGGAGTGTAAAGTGTAAAGTGTGAAGTCTGAAGTGTGGAGCGTAGTGTGTGGAGTGTGTGGAGTGTGTGGGGTGTAGAGTGCAAGTGTAAAGTGATGTAAAGTGTACAGTGTAAAGTGTATGCCACATAAAACGACTTTCGACACGTTTGCAGGCACGCGAGAATGTCAGGAAGTGACACGTCTGCTACGCAAAACGACATTACAACCTGCTTCAACGCCTTCATATAGGTTTTGCAACTTCCCCATGGACAGACACGGCGAGGCCAGAAGAAAACCAGAGACTCGAGATGAGACACGTTGGAGCATCAAAACGAGCATTTCGTGCGAGACTTCCTCCAATTTTCACACTGTGTAGCTTCAAAATCGACGTATCCTACGAGTTTTCTTATGAACCTCAAAATTTGCTACCTCAAAATCGATGTTTCGTGCGAGGCTTCCGTCAATTTTCAACACATCTCACAAAATGCCACGCCCGCCACACAATTTGCACCTTGTCGCCACTTGACGCAGCCCTGACAATGCGATTCGCAAAACACGCAACACGACACATCTAAAGTGCTGCGCGTGCCACGCAAAATGACGATGGAGGTCGCCAAAGTGCTGCGCCTGCCACGAAAAATCCAACTCATCTTCTTGACACGACGCAAAAGTATTGTGCCTGCCACACAAAAAGACTGTCAACACGTTATGAAAAATGCTGGACTGTCAGGAAGTGCCAGGCCTGCCACGTGAAACGAAGCTACGCGGCATTGGAAACCACCAAAGTGACCACTTTTGCAGAACTTGCCATATGTATGGCCATACGGGGCTCACGCAACCGCCCGCGAACAGTTGCGGATGGTTGCGACCGTAAACGCAATGTCAAGCGAACACACCCTCAACTCCGAGACCCCCAGAGTGAAACGGGAACCCTTGCTACGCATTCGGGAATCAGAAGGATCACTACCATGTCCACTCCATCACATTCCATCCATCATGGTCGCTTTTTACAGGCTAGGAATCAGCACACCTTGGCAAGTAGGGACCAGAATTGCTCTACCACCATGTGGCTGCTGGAGGTTCTCTGGCTTTTGAATAATTGCACACAACACAACAAGCAAAAATGTTCCGAAAATATATATTCTGAACAGGCCAAGAAGTGTCCATGTTGTGCACTTGAAGCCGCTGGCGCTTGTCCAGGGCTGTGAAGCGCGGATGTGTGCTGTGGTGGCAATACCCACAAGCATCTCCCATGTGGCAGCTCCCTTTAGCCGAGCGAATGCATGGCCGCGCACATAGAAAGGGATGGCCACGGCTGCCCTGGATAAGTGCATGACGCACGGGCGTTGCTGAAGATGTGGCTGCAGCCGAGTCACACTTCTGCGCATCTTCCTCTTGCGATGCCTCTTGCCGACCCATCTCTGTCTTCATGTCTGCCTCAGCTGCGATGGTCTCCGTAGCTGCCATGTCTGGTAGAACTGGTTCTTCTGGCCCCGTATTTGTTGGAAGTTCATCTGCTGCAACTGACTCGACTTCCTCTGCATCCACTGGAACTGCTGCAACTGGTTGTTGCACTGGAGCTACCCTCATCAACCCAGTCAAGATCTGGGTCCTTTGCCATAGCTCAGCGACGTAGATGGCCATTGCATGCTCTGGACTGTTTTGCTCATCTGCATCCACATGCGCTTGGCTAAGATCGGGACAGCTTCGAGAGCGAGGCAGTTCCACACCCGCTGACTCTTCATCAATGAAGGTGTGAAGGTATCGAAAATTCGCCATGCCCGGTACGCTACTTTGGCAGTACCGGGCACGAACGGCGCATCTAGAACCGAAAGGAATGCATATCAGGTTTATCTGTCAAATCCTACTGCGAAATCATGAACAATGCAAGGCTGGAGTCTCTCCGATTCAAAATCTCTTTCACTGTTTCCCCAGCGGTGCCATGATCCAACCTTTTGGGATGGCCCAGGATATCAAACTGCAATAATCCATAAAGCGCTTCAAGCCTCGTTCGCTCGAAACTGGTGCAGGATGATGGCTTTCGAGATCTTCCAAGGTATCAGACTGCCTGGAAGTCACAACGTGCCGTTGCTGGTATATAGCTGAACGTTTATCCCCCTAAAATAGTATTGATAGGTATCAATAAGCGTGTGTTCCTCGACTGTATTTCATCATGAACAATCAGCCCCACCTCTCACATCTGGAAAAGTCATCAACATGGCGACCGTCTCGCACGGTTTCATCCTCAAAGGCTGAGAGGGGTGGGAAGGCAGCCGTTTTAAGGATCACCCGCGAACCGGTTATCCTGGGATAACCACCAAGGGTTAGGAGAAAACCATGAGGCGTTCAGGCTATCATTGAAAAGGTCTAAAGTTCGGGGGTGTCACTACTGGGACAAGTCCTGTAGGTAGCCAAGTCTTGATGGTCTTTTCTGTATGCAGCGTTTGTCTGCATCCAGGCTCTCCCATTCTATTCCATGGTGTAAAAAATCTTTCAAACCTCCTTTTCCACATGATTTACCCCATACAATGCGTGGTTTTCCCATGGTTTTCACATGGTTTTCCATGTGCACCAAGTGACCTTTGCCATCAAGCGAGGCCAAAAGTTGCTCTACCATCTCAGGTCGGAGGTGAAAGCTGCCGCCACCTGCTTCTCTACAAATGAAACCTGTCCTGGCGAGTTTTCACGGCGCTGGACAAAAAATGCTTATGAAAAGCATTAACAAACATGGCGACAAAAATATTGAGTATTGGTCAACACCGTCGACCGACCCCACAGAGCTGGTCATGTTAAGTGTTGCCTAGTGTTACACCCTCCAAGTTTACGCCATTCAGAATCGCTGGGGGAGGTGACATGAGCCGCTCGACCCAATCACTGAAGCCGAGGGGTAAAACCTGCAATTCGTGCGATCACACACACATCGCTGTTTATGTACATTGGAGCATCAGAAGAAATGCAATCAATTGCGTTAACTTGGCAGTTTTAGAATATGAGCATGCCAAAATTGAGATTAAGGGAACCAATGTTTTTTGGCATTGTTGGTTTGAAGCATCCAACCAACCTATCAGAATCATATCTTGACCCAGCCCATGCCCATATTGCAACTCTTTGTTGGGGGAAGCACAATCCCTCTATCCCTCTCATGTGGGTGACAAGTTCAAATTCAGAACTCCTTCCTTTTGGATCCCTCAAGGGAATAACTCTCCAATCACCCTCAGAAACTGCTCGAGCCACCCCCCGCCCAGCAACATCCTCGCCTTTCCAAATCCTTGCGAATGCGCGCACAATCTGGCACTTTGGCGGCCAAATTGTGCCCAGTGGCAATAATCCAATCGACCTGAAGGCTTCCCAGAAGCACGCTGGTCCCAATCACAAGCATGTAGTGAACATTCAAGCCATCATCCATTAGATATCCATGTCTGATGGGTTTGAGGAAACAAATGTAGGAAACCCTGGTCTTTACGTGTCTTTACCACCATTTTTGGGGGGGGTCCTGTGGGTTTTGACTTTCCCATCATGCATTGGATGTC